CATGTACCTGATCAAAAGAGAAGGAGTTGGTTGAAAAATCTGAGAAGTATAATTTTGTAGGATACAGTGAAAGATCCAAAGCCTATAAATTGTATAATTCTACAATAAAGAAGGAGGTAGTGAGTAGGGATGTGTGATTTAAGGAGAGCTTAGCTTGGGATTGGCTTAAAAAAGGAAACCAGGAGGATGCCACAGTTATGAGAAATTCAAAAAAAATAATTGATGATGTAGAGCAACAAACACCACCATACACTATAGTGAGATTGGGAGAATCATCTAGTAAAGGTATGGAAAAGGTGAAGTCAAGAAGCCTGCAGGAGATATATGACACCACAAATTATAATCAGGAGTTGCCTCAATTTGCTTTATATATAGATGAAGAGCTCTTAACATTTAATGAGGCAGTTACAGATAAGAGATTAATGAATGTCATGAAAGAGGAGATTGATTCTATTGAGAGAAATGACACATGGAGTTTGGTCTCACTTCTTAAAGGTCAAAAATCCATTGGTGTAAGTGGGTGTACAAAGTGAAGAAGAATGTTGATAGATGTATAAACAAATTCAAGGCTAGACTTGTAGTTAAAGGATAAAAACAAAAGCAAGAGATAGATTATGAAGAGGTATTTGCATCAGTTGCTAGATTTGATATAGTCATATTAATTTTCACTATTGTAGCTATGAAAAGATGGCAGATTCATCAATTAGACGTGAAGTTGGCTTTGTTGAATGGTGTTTTGAACTCTTGCATAAGTGAAAACAATGAGAGAGGTAAGGAGAGTGAAGCTCCATAAATTGAGGAAGGAATTTAAAGAAGCTTTTGGCTGCAAACTTTGAAGATAGAAGAAGGTGTCCGGTCATCCTTGGATGACCGGAACACCAAATCCTTTAGATCTTCCGCGTGTCCAACTATGTTGGATACAAAAGGTAGTTTTTCTTTCAATAGCAGCTTTTCTTGTTTTTTAAACTCTCCTATGGTCATTAGAGAGGGAGGTTAGGTCTCTAAGCAAACCTCTTTGCTAGAGATTGGTAAAGGAAAAGAAGTAATGGATGTTTTGAAAAGTTAGTCTATTTCACCCTTGCCGGTTTTGATCCCTAGAGCAAATGATATGGAGGGTTCCTCATCAAGTTGCATTGATAAAAATTTAGACAATTCTAATATGTGGATTAGAAAACCACATATTAAAATAAATTTGAATGAAGTTCATAATGGAAATAAAGATGCTAATGTTGTAAAACTTGACTTGGAAAATGAAAAAGCTAATGTTCATGTTTTGAGGAATTCATTGGTGGTGAAGATCCTTTGTAAAAACTTGCCTTTCTCAAGTTGTGATGTTGAATTAAGGAGGCAATGTGTTAAATTTGGAGGATTTCATATAACCTCACTTGGATTATATTGGTTTCTATGCTCTTTTCAGTCACATGAAGCAATGGATGAAGTTCTTAATGGAGGTTCTTGGTATGTGGGTGGATTTGTCATTGGTCTAGATAAATGGTCTCCAAAATTTTCTCCTTATTCCTTGGATGGGATTTCTTCTCCTATTTTGGTTCGTCTTCCTCACTTGCCATTACATTGCTGATACAATTGTTTCTAGTACCGGGACTCCTTTATTATTGGATGGCAACATGATTAGATGGGGGAGAAGGGAATTCACTAGAGCTAGCATTCGGGTTAAATTGAACTAAAAACTCCCTAGTGGTACTAGGGTTGAAGGCCTTCATGGCAGATTTTTTCAGAAATTTGAATTTGAAAATTTATCATCTATTTGTTTCAAATGCGAAAGAATTGGATACAAAGAATTGGTATGTCCAAATGGTTTTCAAAATATGGATTTTTATTGATAAGGAAGTTCTCAAAGATCCACTTCTTGTTGAAGATAGTTCTTATGGGCCTTGGATGCACGTGAAATTCAAATCTAAAAAAAAACATAAAATTGTTAAGAGGAATTCGTTTAAAAGTCATGATGAAGACTCTCCTCCAGATCTTCTAATTTCCAATAAACATAGTGGATTATCTATTGATAACAATGATAATTTGGATGCTGATTTTGATAAATATTTTATTAAGGATTCTGATTGTCCTATTGATCAAAATCTGGATGAAATTCAGTTGGAAGGAACTTCATTCATGAATCATTGGATTATCTCTGATGGCTCAATTTCAGAACATGCTTGTCTTCCTATGGAGACCTTTCAGAATTCAAAAATTGAATTCAAAACTACCAGTCTTATGGAAGAAAATGAGGTAACTGTTAATGCTGAGTCAGAGTTGGTTGCTGATCCTATGAAAACTTCAAAATTTGAATTCAAACATTCTCAATTGCTAGAAGGAATAGAGGATGCAGTTAGTTCTAAAACAGAAATTTTTACTTAACCAATAAGACCTCTTATTTCAGCTTTTCATCTCGTGAAAGCTCTAGATGCTGTTATGGTGGATAATTTAGAATTCAAACATTCTCTTTTGCTGGAAGGAATAGAGGAAGCCGTTACAGAAGCTTTTCCCGTGAATGCTCTTGATGCTGATATAGAATTCAAACATTCTCGTTTGCTGGAGGAAATAGATGAAGCCATTTTAGAAGGTATAACTGAATCAGCTCTTACTTTAGTTAAGTCCGTGAAAGCTCCTAATGATATGGAAGTTTCAAATGGTTCCTCTACTTTGAAAATACCTGAAATAGTCACGATCTCTTCAGAAGTTAACCTGAATTTTAAAAAGCCTGTATTTGTAGAAGGAAAATCAACATCTATTAAATTATATCATTTTTCATGTTCTAAGCAAAAACTTTTCAAAGAACTACAAGCTTTGGGGCCGGTGGAAGACTTTTCTAGAAGAATAATGACTGATTTAAGCACTAAGAAGTTTGTGAGGGGTTATTCCCCTCATTAGTGCTTTCTTACTCTTACATGGGAAACTACATCATGGAGGTTTTTGGAAGTTATTTGAAGATGGAATTTATGATCAAAGAGTATCTCAAATTACTATCTTTGGTTTGCATACTCAAGATTTGGATGTGGCAACAGAGAATATTACTAAAAGTTTTCTTATATGATTCTCAGTTAACGATGGAGAATTGTAATTACTTTCTATGGTTTTTATTTAGTTTCCTTTACTTTCTTTTAGTTTTATATTTATTTTTTAAATCTATTATAATGTTTTATGGGATCATTACTACGTCTTATTTTTTAACTGGTTGGGAACTCTGAGATACTAATCAACCTTTTAGGTTATTTTTTATATTTAGTATCCCCTCCACCCCAAGGGTTTTTAAATGGGAAATAGTGGGTCTCATTTCAATTATCATAAATTTAGTTTTAACAAATATATTTTCAATATGGTTTCTTTCCCTGTTGGATCAAGAAACCATTAGTTTCCTTTTGTTCTAGTTTGTAATAGGTTGTTCTTTTCTTTCTCTTAATGAAAATTTGCATTTCTTAAAAAAAAAAAAGAATGGTGTTTTGGAGGAAGAAGTATATGTAGATTAGCCTGAAGGTTTTGTTGTGAGGGAAAATAACATACAGTGTATCGCTTAAAAAATGGAATTATGGCTTAAAGTAATCCCCGAGGGCTTGGAATTTATGCATTAATAGGCATTTTGGAAAGAGGGTTTCACTAAAAGCCCTTATGAACATGGTGTGTATATGAAGATTGACTTAAATGACAACAGATTCATTATATGCTTATATGTAGATGACTTGCTTATAACAAGTGATGATGAAGAGATGATTGCAGACTTTAAATAAGCTATATTCAAAAGATTTGATATGACAGATGTTGGCCACATGTCATTATTTTTTGGTATAGAAATGCATCAGAAAGATTATTGCAATTGGATAGCAAAAGAGTTGCTTGAGATGTTCATGATAAATTATTGTAATAGTGTATCAACACTAATGCATACTGGAGTTCATTTCACAAAAGAAGGATAAGGAAAATTGGTTGATCCGACATTATACAAAAGTTTGATTGGGAGCTTCAAATAATTGACTGTGAAGAGATCTGACATTATGTATAGTGTGGGCATCTTGAGTAGATTCATAAAGAATCTGAGGGAGTCTCATTGGCTTGCAGCGAAGAGGATTCTTAGATATATCAGTGGGATAGTTGAGTTTGACCTTCATTATCAGTACAGTGGAGACATGAGGTTACTTGGACATTGCGACAGTGATTGGGCAAATAATTACGAGGAAAAAAAAATCACAAGTGGATATGTGTTTTATGTTGGTGATACAACTTTTACTTGAAGCACACAGAAGAAGAAAGTTGTAGCATTATCCATATGCGAGGTAGAGTATATAACAGCAGCGACAACACCTTGTGAAGCAATGTGGTTGAAGAATTTTTTGAAGGAATTTTATTGAGAGATCGATGAAGCTACAACAACTTATGTGGACAACAAGTCGGAGATAGCGTTGGCCAAAAATCCAGTATGACATGGCAGGAATAAGAACATTGATGTGCATTACCATTTTATCAGAGATGCAATAAAGATGTTTCAGATTAGCATGGAGCATTGCAATATAGAGGATCCAGTAGCTGATTTATTCACCAAAGCATTGCCGGCACCGAGTTTCGTAAAGCTATTGAAGATGTTTGTGATGAAGTAAGTCGTGGTTTGAGGGGGAGATTGTTGGAATTTTTGTAAACCAAGCGACACTACCTTAAATTTATTTATTTTATTATTTTCTAATTCTAGGATAGTTTAAAAGAAAAACTGATTGTTCTGTGTTTTAAAATGGTATACCGTCAAGAAGCAAAAATATAATTCTGCTCTCTCTGTCGTTTTTTTTTTCTGGTTGCCCATGAAACATCTAATGAAGTTTTGTTTGAGTTTTCTTCTTCCATTTTTCTTTGATCAGTTTTTGGTTCCATCAAGTTGTTCGTGGCCCTAGCTTTAACTGGAAAAAAGAAATATATTTTTTTATTATTTTGTTTAGCATATTGTTTAGTTCTTCAAATTCATTAAGTTTTAGTTGTAAGTTTACCATTTTGATACACTAGTATGCAAAATTAAAATAAATGAATTTATTAAGCGATATGAAACAATTGGACATATCAAACAAGCAATTTTTCCTGAAACATTATTTAGAGGAGTTCCAGGCCATGGAGAACTCCTGCGTACTTGTCTACTCCAGTCTTCACAAACCAGTTCCTTCTCAACTTAAGGAATGTCTGCAGAGTTAGCAGACTATCAGATCCCGCCTGATGGCATCTTCCCACCGCGCGATCGACCCCAAGGGTCTTCGCAACCCTATCAAGCCCACCATATAACCCATCGCAGTATCTTATCATATGCTTTACGTCGAAAACCTTATCCCCAAAGAAAATACGGACCAAACCCAGGAAGTCTTCCATAGTCCTCGGTAACTTGCGATTAGTTAGGATTTTGATCAAATACCCAAAATCATACACACTGTGAAATGTCACCCAACTCACGAAAGAATCGTTACAGAGCAATCCCGAAGACATGAGCAGTTCTGCAAAACGGCGTGAGTCGATGCCTCTCGTCCTGTTCTTCTCGAAATCAATCCCGTTGTCGCGAAGTAGTTCGATGGATTCGGGAGCATAGTCGTCGCGAAAGAGGTCGAAATCACGGAAATTGAATTCCCAGATAAAGCGGGCGCCGTCTATGCCGAGGCCCGGGAGGTTTCCTTCGGCGTCTGAGAGTGAGAGGCCGACCTGGATGAGCTGAAGCGAGTCGACGTTGGCCTTAAGTAAAGCGTATTTGTCGGATGGGGTTAGGACGTAGTGATTACAATGCGGACGGTGGACAGTTCCAGGGAACTCCGTGTCCATGGCGGCGAAGGGATACCGCTCAGCGCACTCGCGAATGAGATCGAACTCCGCCTTAAGATTCTCGGCCCACACACGCCGGATTCGGATGTCATGCTCCATTGAAGTCGGCGGCAGTGGCTTTTCCTGTTCGATCGATGGCATCGCTGCCGATTTCGTCTGAGGGTTTTTTTTTTTCTCTTTACTTTGGGTGTGTTGAATGGGCAATTGCTCTGTTATTATAGAGTTGGGGACGGTTCTGGGAAGCAAGCAAGTCAGCCGACGGCGACGGTCTTCGTTTCGTTAGATATCTAGCACGCGTAAGGACCGGGTCCGCGTGGCTGGAAATTTCCACATGTTGGCAAATGGAGCAATCCGGATCGTTGATTGATATTAGGCGAAATCTTTCGTAGAAGGATCTTCATTTGGAACGACCCAAGATATATGAAATAACAAGTCCGGGTGCGTGCATGTGAAATAAATGCGGGAATAGCAATACTTTGTTTATGTTGAGAGAAATAATGTATGTGCGAAGTGGATGGAACCGACAAATTTTGACTGAGGAAAAGTTGGCACAACCGAGTGGCCTTACTGTCTGAATATCCAAAAGCTTTTTAAAATTAATCCAGGTTCAATCCCACCCGTTCAACATTTTCTTGGGACCCTATTGACTAAATACAATTATTTTAGTGTAATACAAGTGGTATAATTAAGGGAGTATAATTTTGTTAATGTAGTAAATTTGAATTATTTAATTGATTTCGTCCAGTAAATATCTTAGTATTTTGATTATTAGTTATATATTTTTTTTCTATTTTACGTTATTAATATGTTTTTTATGTTTATAAAATCAGTTCAATCAAACTATAAAATATATTATTTTTTTTAAATATAAATAAAAAATACTATTTAAATAAACAACCAACATAAAGTTCAAGATTCATAACAAAATTATAAATTTCAATGAGTATAGTTTGATTATTTTCCTAATTTATGCTATTTATAAGTGATACAAGTTCAAAAATTGACTTAGCCCGACACAAATGTTGATGCACATTTGAATAGAAAAGTTTTCATAATTAAATTCAGGACCTTCCAATTAATTTTCATAGACTTATCATCAAATTGTATGTCACAACGAGGAAAACACATGACACAAAAATTGATCCATTCTGTAGACTTGGGAAAGTCCAGAGACATTTGTCCCACTGCATACTAAGCTTTTCTGTGGCTGAAAATTTCTCTTGGTTTGGATTTTCTGTTGATTCTTTATCGGTTTTGCTTTTGTTTGAAGGCGATTTTGGTGTAGGAACTGTTTTGAATTTATTTTTGGCAGAGGATTGCCTTGCGGCATATCTCCTTCGGCTTGGTTTACAGAGCGATTGTGATTGTTGTATTTCAACAGGTGGTAGATTTGAATTATTCTTGATTGATTTTGGTGAAAACTCAAGTCCGAAGGTGATTTTAAATAAGTTTACATGTGGGTTCGATGTTGCCTACAATAAGTCTTGCGTTTTGGGGTTGTTATGGTTTTTTCTTGATTCCAGATTTGGTTTTATGGTTTTCTTGGTGTGTGATCTCTTATTGATCAAGAAATTGTTGGTGTATGGTTGTTTGGATTGTAGAGTTGGATCTCTATATTATGAAGAACCGGTTTCAGGTTTCTTGAAGATTCTTGGAGATGATGTTGCTACTTCTTGTTTTACGTCCATTTGGATGGATTTTTTTGGATCTTCTAAGGAAGATAGTTCAAAATTTTGGTATGAGGTTGCTGAAATTATCGAATTGATTGATCAAACATTGTTTGGTTTATATATGGAAGGTTGTTTCTATCTTCATATAGTTATTTTGATGGCTTTGAGAAGATCTTCTAAGGGAGATAGTTTGGATAATTTATATGGTGAAACCAGAATTATTGAAGAGTGTGTCCTATTGTGGTTTGGTTCATTAATGGAAAGTTGTTTGGATCATCAAAGATGTATTGGAGCTTGCTTTTGGTGGGAGCTTATCTTATCAAGGCTTAAGATGGGTTCTTCTTTGTTCTTTGAAGTACAAGTCTTATTGGTTGAAGACTTGAAGGGATTGAAGTTTACTAATTTTTCTATTGCCAGTATGATGATGGTAGTGATGATAATCAGTTCGTATGGCTTTGGCAATGATAAGGCTGATTATTAGCCTCTTGAGGAGGGTGTCAGTCTTATAGCTTCATCGACTTTAATTTGTTCATTCAAGGTGGCTGTTATTGGATGCATTGAGGTTTCCGCGGATTCATCTCTTGATTGGAGCTCGTTGGCCTCTAAGGATGTTGAAGACGGTCATTTAGATGTTTTATCGGCTATTTTAGTTGTTCCTTTTCTTATTGTAGTTGGTTATTTTTTGGTTCTCTTGTAGGGTTTTCTGTCCTTTTTGAAATTATTGTAGTGAAATGTGGGATTTTTACTAGTTTTCATTTTTAATCTTTTGGGAACTTTGAGATACTAACCAACCTTTTAGGTTGTTTTAATATTTGGTGTCCCTATCCCCCAATAGATTTAAAATGGAATTTAGTATATCACATATCCATTATGATAGTTTTAAAGGGCTTGTCATTTATTTCTAGTTTGTAATAGTTGTTTCTTTTTTTAATGCAATTTGCATTTCTTAAAAAAAAATACTTATCTTCACTGGTGATGGTCCGAATCCCTTCCAATTACATATCTGGTCTATATAAATGTGCATTTATAAGGCCAATTTTTGTGTCTCATAAAGTTTAATAATAAAACACGACTGTAAAATTTTTAAAATAAAAATTAAAGGTTTCTACTAATTTTAAATGAAATCACTTAGTAAATGGGATAGCTCAGTAGAAAAATAAAAATTAACATACAATTTAAAAAATTCCAACCAACAATATTTTCCATCATAAAAAAAGGAAGATTATAGCAATTCGACAACTTGAACATACGTATTGATGATTGCAAATATTATTGGATAATTATTTACTTATTCTTGCATCATACTTTAGATACATTTTTTTGTGTGCTACTAACCATTTAGGTACTGTATACACAAGGCAAAGATTGTAGATCAAGCTCAAGACAATGCTATGATAGTGTGTTAGTCAATGTATGTTTCAAAGAGTTTGTAATTTTTAATTTTTTTGTCTACCTTTGTAATAGTTATATGTTAACTTAGCAATTATGCGTACACACACAGGAGGAGTGAGATTAAATTTTTTTATTTTTTTTTTTGAAGATCACAATGGATGAATTGGAACCTATTGTATGATCCAAGCATTTAAAAAGTAATTAAAATATTTAATTAAGTGAAAATAAAATTAAACTAATAATAATGTATGAGTCACTTCATTATATAAAACAATCTTATTTTTTAATAAATCCTATTATTAACTAATTTATGAAATTACTTGAATTTAAAAAATTGGTCTATCCTTATTGTATAAACTTAATTGTACCATATGATATTTTAAAATAATGCCTAATTTAATATATGTGATTAATTAATTTAATCTTCATTTATAAATATTATAGTACATAAACATGATTGTATTGGGTGATTTACATAATATCTCTCTAGTCTATATTTGATTATCCCAAGGTTTATCTTTTACGAATTATATTTGACTAAATAATCATATTGTACTATTATTAATTCATACTATACGAGAAGTGAAGAAATTAAATTGATCAAATTGGATTACTATTAATCCTTCAATATTAATAATGGCAGATTTGAACAAATCATACAACACAAACTCTTTTTTGGTTAAAACTGACGAAGAGGCCTACACGTTAATTAATAAAAATGATTACAAGGTCCTTAAGGGAGACCATCAGCTCAGTGCTACTCAAATCATACAATACAAACTTTTTTTTAGGTGAAATCCACGGAGGGGCCTACGTGTTGATATATATCCAAAAATACAAGGTCTTTAAAGGGACCTCGAGCTCTTCTACTTCTCAAAAGAGCTACAAGAAAAATGACAAAAAAACCCTATAAGCTTAAGATCCCTACTGGTGGGAAAAAATTTATATCACCACACAGATTTTGATTTCTCCTATTTTGTAATCGAATACTGCATTGAGAATAAAGTACGGACTCGAGAGGCCGACACAATATTCTATAATGGATTCAATATCAAAATAGGGTTTTGAAAATTGATATTTCTATAATCAAACATAGTTCAAAGAATAACATATCATCTCAAAAGATGAACATGAAATTCTATTGAATATGTTTAAAGATAGAAATACGTTTTTTAAAAAGAGTTTATTCATTCTTTTATTTAGATATGACAAGAAAAATATTATATCATCTTAAAAGACGAACATAACATTCTTCAAGATATCCAAAAGCGAGAATGAGTTTTATAAAATTCATTATTTCTAAAGTTGAATATAACAAGTATAATATTATATTATCTGAAAAGATAATAATAACATTCTACAAATCTATTCAAAATTGGAAATAAGGTTTTAAAAATATCTACGTTCCCAAAGATTCTTCCCTTGTTTTATACGAATAAAATAAGGTTTATTTTAGTCTGGGGTTCTCAAATCCCTATAGGAGCAAGCCCTATAGTTAATTACATCCTAAGAGGAATGATCCTAAAAAAACTCTTGATTAAAGCAGTGATTTCATACCCTTTTGACTACAAAGTAGAAGACAAGGAATAGAAATAAGGATTTTTCAAGGAGAAAGCTCAATGTTGAACATTTATTAGCGAGTCAAAGGAGAAAAAGTAGGAGGAGCCGGATTCTGAGAAGCTCAGAGGTAACCTCAGCCTATCCTATGTAAGGCTTTACATTTTAAGAGAAATTTTTATATTTGAGTTGACATTTTATTAGAAACTTGGGATTATATTCCCGGAGGGCGAGGACTTAAGATCTAAAAAAGAATCTGCCTCAGAACCTAAATCTAATTTGGGTACTATAAAATAGTGACTCGAACCTAACTAATGAAGTACAAATCTGGACTTATCCCAGCCTGGATTGGCGAGCCAGCTAACTACCTAGGCGCTTTAAAACCATGTATCCAGTCTCTTATAAAAGATAGGTAGGGTTGTTGTTTAAGTTTTAAGGAATTTGGGGCTGACATCTAAGATAATTCCTAATTAGCCCCTCAACTTATGTAGGGTGATAAATGTCTAGAAATGCAATTAATATTTTAGACTCTTTTTAATTTATATCTAATGCAATGCATGCTAATTGAC